CTCAATGCTAGGCTGGCCCCCAGGTGGGTGGAACTTTCTCAGCACCTGTGCCTTCTCTCTGTGGCAAACAAATTTTGTCTTGTATCTGTGGCTGGCTCGGGTGGAAGAATCCCGCCCCTTCCCACAAGGAGCAGACCTGTGCTTGGTTTTGGAGTAGGATTGCTTCCTACTCCGTCCCCGGGGGTAGAGGGTTTCGGCTTTTGTCCTTCCCCCAGCAGCCACAGGGGTGGCTTCACCCGCGTCTCTCCTCACCCCTCCTTACCTCTCGGGGCGTGATGCCCCCTCCTGGCTTCTGCGGAGAATGACAGCAGGGCCCTCGCAGGCGGCAGGGTCTAGCGCCTGTCACGTGGCCACCGCTGACTCCCCGCCCTGCGGAGGTGGCTCTCTCCGGCCTCCTGCCTTGCTGCCAGTCTTTCTCGGGAACCCCTGGCCGAGGCCCGTGGAAATTGCCGGCGAGTCGGAGTGCGTCTCATCTGCCACACCTGGCACCGGCTCGCCCACGCCTTGTTAAGACTCCAGCTGATTTGAGTCTCGCCCCACGCGGGGCAGCAGACGCCCCCTCCTCCCCGCCGTGCCGAGCCGGTCCCTGCGCCCACCTCTCCCCGGCTGGGCCCGCCCTTCCTGGAATTCACTTTCTAGCTGGCCTTGCAAACACTCGCCCACGAGTTCAAGAAAACTTACGATGCTGTCATTTTCTCTGGGGTTTTTCCCCCCTCGTTGTTAGGGTGGGAGGGCACCGCTGGCTTTCTCCATCCCGGGCAGCAGCAGAGGCCTTGCCTGGCCCACTGGACGGGCAGCCGGACTGGCCCTGCCACGCAGCCCACGTGCTCCCGAGGGATGAGAGTCGAGTTCCATCCTGATGTTCCTTGCCTTAAACCCTTTCGGTGACGTCCTATCACACTTAGGATGACCAAAATCCTCTATGTGGCGTAGACTTGGCCTTGCTTACCTCTTCGACCTTAATTTGCCCCCAACAAATGGCTACTTTTTGGGATAAATGGCCATTAATTTGTGCGCTTTCTCTTCCCTCTTTCCCTGCAGGGTCTGGCCGCTTCTCCCAGTTCTTTCCTGTTCGTAGACTGCAGATCCTCTCCCTTTCCCCTTGGGAACGTGCTTTGACTCTGTCCCCACCCCCGCCCTCCTGCCACGTGTTCTCAGGTCACCCTGGACCCTCATCTTTCACGCACTTGCATCTCTCGCTAGCTGTCTGCTCTTTCGTGAAGGTCTGTCTCTCGGCTGCAGGAGGGCAGGGACTGGGATTATCCATGGGTCCCTGGTGTCTCACACGATAAACACATTTGTGATGGAGAAACCAGGGGCCCCCTGGCTTCAGCCCACTCTTGTTCCAAGCCTGGCGACAGACCACAGAGAACTGGGAGTTAGCAGGTCGTTGCTTCTGGGGAATGACAGTTAGAAGTGCCGGGTGTAACCAGCCTCACCCTGAGTCAGCCTGGGGGCCCCACTGTCGTCCTTCTGCCACCTGCCACGTTCTAGAAGTTAGATGATGTTGGAAATGGCTTCCACGTTGCATATCTGGCAGGTTCTGACACGTAGACGTGCCACTGGTGGGGAAAAGAATGTTTGCATTGCTAGAACTAGCCAAAGGGAAAGAAGCGAGCCCACCCCAGGTTTCACTGCAGTCGAGAACAGGAAAAAATTCTGGGATGTTGTTTGTGACAAAATGACTGACCAGCTCTTTTGTGTTCACAGCTGTGATACGCTATCTGAGGCTGTTCTTTCTTGTGACTTAACATGCTTTCGTGGATCCAAAGACATAGCAAAGGATATGGAAGGTGAAATTGTTTTTATAATCCTGAGTGTTTTATTGAAACATGTGTTTGATAGTTTTGGGCTAATGTCAACTGGCAGTTACTGCAATGAATAGAAAATTGGTCTAAGTTTTATTTAGCATAACAGGAGGAGATGTCTGTCTTGTAGGTAATACTGCTGTAGACTGATAGATCTTAGAGAAATTAAAAATGCAGGACACATAGAATATAAGACCTTGGAATTAGCTCTACCACTGGGTATCAGCTCTCAGAAATAATATCTTGCAGTAAATCTTTACTGGTGGTCGGTGTCATTTGTTATTAAATATAATTTTGTTTATTTTTAGCTTGGAAAGATATAACCAACGGAAGTATCAACCTTCATGTCCTTCCAGGAGATCACTTTTATCTTATGGAACCTGATAATGAGAAATTCCTCAGAGACTACATAACCAAGTGTCTAGAAATATCATCACTTGCCAATTTTTAGATAATTTCCCTTTCGGTCTTAAAATAGTCAAAGTGATACGATACTGTTCGCAGCTAATCAGATGTAACTCATTAGTTTTATTTAGTGATTGGAAATGATACATTTTCCATTGGCACGGTGATTTGTTATGTATAAATGTGTTTCTCTGAGGAAGATTTATGTATCTGGGGATGAAAGGCACATGGGTAAAGAATACTCCTGGCAGAGTCTTTTACCTTCATATTAAAATCTTTATGTGATTCTCATCTGTGGGATGTTTGTCAATAAAATTCATGCTTGGTAAATTATCCATTTTTCTTTCAATTATTTTAATGGTGAAAATGATTAACAGGGGAAATGCTTGAAATTCAATTATTGTTTCACCAACACACCATGACTCAAAGTTCGATCTAATCTTTTGAAATGTAGGGGAGTTCCATTTATAAGAAAACGGAATGCTTTATTAAAAGAAGATAGCCTTATACAATTATTGTCGCCGGTACCGGCAAGTCCCTGACCACCTTTCTAAGGAATTGCTTCTACACCAATTGCTGGTTGGCTTTGTGTGGCCCTGCCACCCTGGCAATGATTTGCTGGGACCTGGGGCAGCCCTCCCACAGAAAACCAATCCAGAGCCTGGCCCCTGGCATGGCGTAGGGAGTAGTCAAGCACAAATGCCACGCCTGATGGGCTGCCTCAGCCTCACCCTGCCACACCTTGCCCTTGACATTGGGTGAAACAAACAGGAACCAAGAGAAAAAGAAAAGCAGAAATAGGGAAGATTAGCTGAGTGGGAATAATGGCAGAACATTATGAATGGGAAGGGAGCGAAGTGTCACCGTGTCCCTGGAACTGCTTGAACCCTGAACTCTGTCAATTTCCAGACTGTATTCATCTCTTTAAGCCTTGACTCTCGCTCAGATGCCTGGATTTCCTTATTTCCTTCAGATCATCACAATAAACTCCACTACTTGATGTGACTGACGTCTCTTCCTTACAGCCTACACTGCTTAATGTAACATCATTAATGTGTTTATGATCACATAATATGGTTTATGTTTTTGTTAATATTTTTACATAATGGACATAAGGTTTTAGTAAATAAGAATAAGGAAAATGCATACAGGAGGCATTTTTCAGAATTTATCATTCTTTTTAAACAAAGTACAAATAATATTAAAATTAATTATGCGGTAGGCTTTGAGTTAGAATTCATATTATAAATTTGGGCTACAAATAGCCTCAAGCCAATTGTGTTAAATGTTTAGTATGTGTTATAGTTTATCCTGTAGTTTGATACTGTTTCTAGAGCCCCCTTATTAAAGGATGGATACAAAAGTAATTTAGATTTGTGATTATCGATTTGAAAAATCTGACAATATAGTCTGCAAATGGGAGTCTCATGGTGTGGCCAATGTCAGGCTTTGGGGGTGGTGAAGTCCACATGGGAATAGCTCTAAGAGTTTCCAAGCCCTTGATTCCAAGAGACAAGGCCAATCTCAAGGGACTTGGCCTTAACTTCATTGTGGACAACTTCTGATTATCTTTAGGCAACACTTAGGAAAGATGAGAATTTTTTTTCTTTTTTGAGACAGAGTCTTACTCTGTCACCAGCCTAGAGTGCCATGGCATCAGCCTAACTCCCAGCAACCTCAAATTCTAGGGCTCAAGCGATCCTCCTGCCTCAGCCTCCCGAGTAGCTGGGACTACAGACATGTGCCACCATGCCCGGCTAATTTTTTCTACTTTTAGTAGAGATGGGGTCTCACTCTTGTTCAGGCTGGTCTCAAACTCCTGACCTCAAGCCATCCTCCCACCTTGGCCTCCCAGAGTGGTAGGATTACAGGCGTGAGCCACCATGCCCGGCCAAGAATCATCTTTCTTGTCAAAATTTTCCAGATAAGAAATCAATCTTGATTTTTTTAAATCAAATTTTTGGGGATAACTATTGATTCCCTTAGAGCTGTAAGAAATAAAACAGAGAGGTCTGTGTCGTTTTTTAGCTAGTTTCCCTTAATGGTAACCACCATGCAAAACTGCAGTGTAATTTCACAACCACAGAACATTCCATCACCGTAGGATCCTGCCTGCTGCCCTTCCGTGGCCACACCCGCCTCCCCCCTCCCTGGCAACCACTATTCTACTCTCTGTGTCTATAATTTTGCCCTTTTAGGAATGTTACATAAATGGAATCAAAGAGCTTGTGATGTTTTGGGATTGGCTTTTTCCACTCAGTGTAATTCCCTGGAAATTCATCTGGTGGAACTAGAGGGTTTTGTTTTTATTCTAAGTGACATGAAGTCAATCTGTGCCTCTGGTGGTACCATGTCAAACCTAAATCATTACGCAGGGAATAGAGGTACACTGTTTTAGGGGATATTTATCCTGTGGGATCTCAAGCAGGTTTGTGGGCTGTAAAAATGAGACTATTATTCTTTCAAAGAGCCCGTGTCCCATCAAGAAAGCCTGAGTAGTGGGTCCATCTTATAGTCTAGATTCTACATTTTCACGCTGATAAAATTGAACACACAGGGTGCAGTAGCGGTACAGTTTATCACTAGATACATTTTAGTTTGATTTTTTAATTTGTCTTAAATATAAACGTTTAAAGAGAAACAGTAGATATTTCCATGGTGGCTTTTTTCTTTCTTTAAGGCACTATAGATAGACATATACATTTCTTTTTTAAAAACCCATTTTTCAGCTTATTTGTTATGTTTTTTATAGCATTTGCTCTAATAGGAGGGTAGCATGGGTATAGTTGTCTCCTTCAATTCTTACAACAACTTTCTGAGAGTGACATTATTCTTTTTCCTCTACAGATGAGGCTTAGCAAGGCGAAATAACTGGCCCCAGGACACCCAGCAAGCAGGTCACACAGTGAGGACGGGACCCGGGCGTGTCTGTGACTCCACAGTCTCTGCATCAGCCTGAGCCCAAAGCTACCTGGGCCGAGGCGGGTGGACTGTTTGAGCTCAGGAGTTCGAGACCAGCCTGAGCAAGAGCGAGACCCCGTCTCTACTAAAAAAAATAGAAAGAAATGATCTGGACAACTAAAAATATATAGAAAAAATTAGCCGGGCATGGCGGCGCATGCCTGTAGTCCCAGCTGCTCGGGAGGCTGAGGCAAGAGGATCACTGGAGCCCAGGAGTTTGAGGTTGCTGTGAGCTAGGATGACGCCACGGCACTCACTCTAGCCCGGGCAACAGAGTGAGACTCTGTCTCAAAAAAAAAAAAAAAAAAGAGTAGTCTTGCTATTAATTCTTAATATCCTGTTTTTATTACACCAGTAATGCCAGCTCATCGTAGAAGATCAGACAAGCCAAGAGAACACACAATTGTTAAGTCTTTGTATACACACTAGCAGAGCAATACTTTTCTGAAAGAACTTTTACAGTCATCTAGGTTAAGCAAGTAAAATTTAACTACGTAGTTTCAGCATACTCCTAATTAAGTATTCCGATTCATGCTAACAGCAAGAATAGACACGATCCATAGAGTTAACAGTGCATTTCCATCCTGAATGTGAGGACATGATACCATTGTGCAAGCTTCGGAAAGGAAAAGTTCTCATACGCTGAATCCTAAATTCCATATTTTTCTATCAGCTCTTTTGCTTTAGAAATATAGGCATGCATCGCGTCTTCCTCCGACAACCCTAAAAGATACAAATAGATTATCTCCCTGGTTGGTGCACTGGGAAATTAAGAAAGTTATTTTTAAACTTATCAAAGAATTAAAAACCTTTTCGGAGGTTCCATGCTTCCCATTTGGCCTTGCCTTTTAAATCTAACATTCCTGGACACTCTGCCAAAAGGAGGAAAAATGTATTTTCAGGTTTACTTTTTACTGTGTACTTCTATAGACATTATTCAAATGAAATGTAGTATTATTTTTTAAATGACGATCTAATACCAATATTAATGTCTCCAATTATGGCTTGTTTGTAAAGCCCATACAGTTCTTTCAGTTCTTCATCGTCTGGTCTTGATTTCAGCTTCCTGACATCTTCTGCGGCCCTGTCGAAATCAGCCTAAAGAAAAAAAAAATGCACATGGTGCATTTGTTAACTTTAGGCAGGACTGTCATAATGTGGGGGCACTTACTACCACCAAGGTGTGGGAACTTCAAGAGGAAGAGGAGGAAGGTTTCAAACAGAAATGAACTATCGCTACTCTGGTTCTACCAGAATTATCCTAATTTATTTGAACTCCCTGGGTTTACCTTTCATGGTACTTACCTGATATATAGACACAATATGGAGAAAAAAACAAAATTCTTAATACTTAAAATATTCAATTTCTCTATTTAAAAAAAAAAGAAGCATTCCACTCAATGCAGCTTTCTTGATGACCTCATGCACGCTACCTTCCTCTTTTTCCTAAATCCACACTTCATGCTTTGCTGCCAGGTCACACCACGGTCCAGGGCATCTCTCTCCCAGCACGCACACGCCCACATCCTTCAACATCTGTATCGTTTATACCTATTTAGTGGACTAGCTAGTCTCCAAGGGCAATCAATATTCCTGATTTAGTTGAATTGCTTACACAGATTCCTTTCAACGCTGAAACCAAAAGTTGTACGACTTATTTCAACTGATTTCTAGAAAAGAGAAGTTGTTCAGCCAACTTAGAGTTGATTAGCGAAACTTTGTGGACAGATATACTTGAGTAGTAAGTATATATTTGTATACTTTCTGGAAACTTAAGCGCATACACATGCACTTAAGTAAGAAGCTTTAGCCTGGGTTAACTCTGAAACACCTGAGCTCCCTAACTCCCATATTTATTCTCGGATGCCAGAGCTCCCTTTTGGTCCAAGGGCCTAGGAGAGAAAGTGGATCACCCCACTGTAACCTCAGAACCCCTGTGAGCTGGGCAGAGCTGCTGGGTCAAGTTTCCGTCCAGCCCCCAAAGCAGGACACAGTCGCATAACTAGAACAGTTGTGTTGTGAAGAACAAAAATCATCTGTCAATTGGAGACCAGGGTCTCTGACCTAGATAACCTTGAAAATGAC